CTCGTTTAGCCAAGCTTGTTCTGTGAAACAGTTGAACTGTGCCTTTTTTCGAAACGCTGGAAACTAAACCCCTGCCTGAGGCGCTGACCTAGGCTGGAAAAATCTTCAGCGTGAACGGTCTGGAAGCAGAAGCGCAGAGGTGACGGAAAGTGTACAAGGGAGAGCTGAGGAGAGACGCTCCTGCCAGCTCTTTTAAACACGTGCCCTTCTGGTGGTGGACTAAACGGCTTTCTGCACACATGCTGTGCTCCACAGATTGCCTTTTCTTCTGGTCAGGGAGAATTCGACTGCTCTGGGCCTGACAACAGCCTTTTGGGGAGGAGGAGGCATCCCTGGGGACGTGGGAAGCCAGACCAAGGGAGCACAGGACACGGGAACTGTCTGGAGTTCAAGAAACCCTGCAAGCTCAGTCGACACAAGGCAGCCCCAAAGCTCGCTGAACTTTGTGCTGAAGCCCTGAGAAAGTCTGTGGTGCATTTATTTCAGAGGAGGCTAAAAACATCAGTGGAACCACCCAGTCTGAGGCACCCTCACGGAAGGAGGGTCCCCCCCAGTGACACTTCTCACCTCACAACTCCGCTGCCATCTCTGACTCCAGATTAACAACAGGGCGCGTGGGAGACGAACCTTGGAACCAGACTCTGACTTGTCTGTGGCAGGGCCCAGCGCTGGACACACGTGCCTTGCAGGATTGACCTTCTCCAGGACTGGAACAAGAAACAGCAGCACCATGAGGCAAATAACCAACCCAAGGCCACGCTGCCAGCACGAGCAGCATCCTCCAGCCCACAAACCCTCGCCCGGTGACGAAATACCACGACTAGAAACGCCGCTGGGGACAGCCTGCAACAGAGCATCTAGTGTTACCACCTCCAGCAGAGCTGCCTGCTAGGAAAACAGCGCTGATATTTCTGTTTGAAAAGCAAAGTTTTCTGTAGACAGCCTGTCCTTCCAAGGAAAGGGGAATATCTAATCACCTCTGGAGAGCAACTAGGACAACACGCTTTCTATCTGTAATGATAATGATTTCGAATAGTATCACTCTTGTTTCCATTCCTACTCTCCTGGGACCGTCAGAACCGAAAAGGACGTGCGTGTGTTTTGTGTAAGCCTTGAAATGCCGTGGCCTGGCTGAGTGGGAAACGCTGCTGGAGCCAGGAGAGTGTGAACGTGTTACTCTGCTGGGGCAGATTATATCAGAGATGGATACGGGAAGCGAGAAAAGAAAAACAAAACACACCACAAAAAACCAACCCAGTGGGGGAACCGAGAAAGAGCCGTGGTGTGCGCACAGAGATTGGGTTTCCTCATTCACACTGGAACGAAGCGCAGAGCCCCCCCAGCCGCCTGGCTCGCCGGGACGGGCTCATGCAGGACCCGGGGGGCTTCGGGCAAATGCCGAGAGCTCAGGGCAACCCACCACCACGGGGCTCAGCTCCCCGCAAGGGACGCCTCGTGCTGAGACAAAGTGATTTGCTGAAGGTCAGGGGGAAGAAGAGGTTCGAGGGGATCCTCAAACTGTCAGCCACGGCCACACGGAATCACGGGCAGGGGGCTGACAAAAACACGAGCTGTTTACTCACCCGACACGGTGAAATATCATCACGCCCGTTTTACAGACAGAGCCTTGTTTCTTCACCAGAGATCTGGAAAGAATGAAGATCCCCTGAGCCTCGGGGCTACCGTTTTATCCACAAAACCACACAAAAGGTTTAAAGCCCATATAGACTAAAACCAGCTTCATCCTCTTGAGTCGCTGGCTCAGACTCCTCTGTGAGGTTCGGCACAGGCTGCTGGGGGGGCGAAGCTGCCAAGTGTCACAGCAAAACACACACGGG